GGCTGTGCCCTAGGCAGGGCTGGTGGGTCGGCCGGTGTCTCTGATTTGCGTGTGTGTGTATTGTTGTGCGGCGCACGGGCGGGACCGGCGTGTGCGGGAGCCTGGGGTCGCGGCTCTGCCTCCTCTGCAGAGTCTGAGCCGGGATTATGGTCTAGGCGCAGGGAGAGGGCTGTCGCTCACCCCAAGGATTGATTATGCTCGCAAGAAAATAAATGTATTCACTGGGTGTCGCAAGAGCAAAGCCTAATAATCAAAGGTAACAGCAGCAGCAAGGCGAAGAGACCCGCACTGTATCCTGCTCCCCCACTCCCAGACCTGCCCTCCTATTTATTGGCGAGACCTCCCTCCCTCCCTCCTTCCCTCCCTCCCTCTCGGTGCGAGTGCGTTGTGCGAGTGTTTAATCCCGGGAAAAGTGCAGCCATCCCAGCCATGGTGGTTTTCAATGGCTTGCTGAAAATCAAGATCTGCGAGGCGGTGAATCTGAAACCCACGGCGTGGTCTCTGAGGCATGCGGTGGGTCCCAGGCCACAGACCTTTTTGCTGGACCCTTACATAGCCCTCAATGTGGATGACTCCAGGATCGGGCAGACCTCGACCAAGCAAAAGACCAACAGTCCTGCTTGGAACGATGAATTTGTCACCGATGTTTGTAATGGCAGGAAGATAGAGATGGCTGTTTTCCACGATGCCCCCATCGGGTACGACGATTTTGTAGCTAACTGCACTATACAGTTTGAGGACTTGCTGCAGAACGGGAGCCGCCACTTCGAGGACTGGGTAAGTGTTTGTGCTGTGGATACGTACACATACATATGATTTTCAGTGGCATGGCTCTGGATGCAACATCTGCCTTGCCGAGCTAGGTTGCCAAGGGCATGTAATGGCTCTGAAGGCTTTTCATTATTTCCACGCTTTGTTATACTGAGATAGCCATGGTTACTGTATAGCTAATGCATGTGGTCTACAGGCAAGGGAGGAAAGAAAATTACGCTGAATCTAAGTAAGAGATGTATAATTACTGCTCCAGTTTCTGCAATTACGTTATATAAATACAAGTCTCGTTATCTTACTGTGTTTGAAAAACCCGAACCAAATGCATCCATACAGAACATTACCGCAAAACCCAGATCCAGCACTTAGACCGAGTTCATCATTTCGGTGCGAACGCTCTTGGTCGGCCTGGCAATGACGAGCCTTAAAAATCCAGACCTGACCTCTGATACGAGACACTTTGGGGTCTTCGTGTCACTTGAAAGCTCACTGCATCAACACTGACGCTCCTCCTTCCTTCCCCGAGATGATCTACACCTTTATGCATAGAGCTAATGCAGTGCTCGTTCAAATGCCTGAAACTGATAACGGGTGCTGGGGAATTTTGGCCCAAACCAGACAAATTCTGTTGCCTGTATACACACAACGTGTCTAACAGCTTCTACAGCGTCTTAAAGACCCAGAGGCTAACATGCCTCAGTGGGAGTATAAAAAAGCTGGAAAATCCTTGGTCTGACATCCGCAGGTACTGTGATTTAACACGGAAAAATCAAGCAAGCAAAAAAAGAAACACAGGAAACGTGAATATGCACATTTCGCATTTCTGCAGTTAAACAGTTAAATGGTATATCCTTTAAAAAAGATGTATAATAAAACAATAGCAGCTGTCTTCTCATTTTAAATGTGCTCTGCTCGACCAGCCATCTGAAATGCGTATGCTCATCTTGTGTATTTATTTCTTATGGTCAAGGATACTAGTCAGGGCAATATTTCTTTGGCAAACAGACAAAGAACCCAGGACCGAAGTAAAAATAGCGAGAGTTAATAGCTCTGAGTTTCATGTATTTTTGGGGGCTTCTTTACTTAATGCAGTGGTATAAAGAGATGTCAGAATGATGGAAAGGCGTGGAAGAATTAGGCTCTATTTATGTTGTTTAGGAGCTGACTAACTTTACTGTTAAAACTTTTATGTTTGCAACTTTAAAATATTTTTCACTTCTGCTACATGCGTTACATTGTTGTCATCAGGATCTAGATTTTTCTGATGCTCTATAAAAGCTACACATTAGTAAGCTTGGACAGTAAAACTTGGTGATAGGCAGAGGAAAAATAGCCAAAACAGGAAAAGACAGATGCAGCAGTATTGCAGATGTCTCTTACCTGGATTGAATGATAATCAAGTTGTGGATCTCCTGAAATCAAAGGGGGGGTGTTTCATCTTTCAGACCAGTGGGACGAGGACGTCATCACAGATTTTTAGTGAAAGAAGAATAATTTTGTATGTTCTTTTTGTGTATGGTACATGTTGTGAGTTTGTCGCCAAGTCTGGAAGGGCCCTTGCAGGTTGCAGATGCTAAGTTTGAATTTTGGTGGGGCTGGTGTGCTGGGGTATGTCCTGCCTCTGATTTTTAAGGTGAACTCAAATGTCTGCACACGTTCCTTAGATAAATAGTGGAATTTAACAGATTGAGGCCCATTGTAAACATGATCAGGGAGGAACTACATAGCTGAATCAGATAAATGCTGTGTTTTATTGCACCAGGATTCATTGCTGTCCAGCATTCACTGGGTGGGAGGAGACGAGGGAGCGACTACGCTTGTTGTCTGTTGATGTGACAGAATTGAGGAGATGGCAGTGGATCGTAACTGGTCAGCTCAGTGTAATGCAGCTTCTGGAGCATCGCTTACCTTGTTTTGTGCTGTAAATCCTCGTAGTTTGGATTGTGTTTGTGTGGTACATATAATACACCGTGCACACCACCCTCCCTGTATCACAGTTAGAATTGGTGGGGAGGCAAGTATCTATAAGACTGTGCTTTATCCTTTCCAAGATCTTCTCAGTTACTGAATGTGTCACTGTAATTGTAATACCGAGTATGTTTACAGGCTTGTTAATAGATAGGGACCTTCAGAGAACTGGCTCTTACAAAATCACGCTGGTTTTTTTTGTCTGATTTCACCGAGTTAAAATAAGGCCTGTGGCCATGACATCTCTATAGAGTCCATAGTGAAGTAAAGGGATTTATTGGTATCTTCATCAGTGTCTGGAGTCTATATTAAAACCTCAAAAAGAGAAGTTGTCTATGAAATGAATGGGTTTCACAGGACAAGAAAAATGCACGTGGCCTAAGCCAACGTTAGACTAAGATCTGCTGGTACCATCCAGTCAGTTTCTGCTGTTTAACAAGAGGGCTAATTCCTTCGTTTCACTCTTGGCATTTAAGGCAGGTATTTTTGTAGTACTCTTTTCCAACTTTATAAGAAGCAAATTAAAAGCAGCAATCACAGGAACCCATTCCTTCTTGCTGCCTGAAATATCAAATAAATGCAATGTAAGAAACACCCTTTGGAGACCATGAAGTCTTTTTATGGCATTCTGAAGGTTTCCCTGAAAGTTTGAACTAGGTACCACGTACCTGTTGAGTGTGTTCTCTGTAATTGCACTGCTGCCCCTCTTTACCTTCAGAATGATGCAACAGTTCTTGCAGGACTGGGCTGTCACTGTTTAAATAGGCTTGAGAAAATGCTCTTGTGCTGAGAACAGCTCTTGTCAATATGTTAATAGCTGTAATGCTTTCGATCTCATATAGTACTGCATGTGTTTTTGTAAGGAAATTTCAATATTTGTTTTATAATATCTGCACTAGGGTCAAGGTTATGTTACTTATCCCGTAATATATTTCTAGATTGTTGTCAGAAGTCCAAAATGCAAAAAAGACTTGCAAAGAAATGGTGGTTTTTTTCCCCTAAAAAGAAACCATTTCTCTCTTTAGCCAGCTCACCTACTTTGATTGTTTTTTGCCATTGTGCAAATCCTTGTATTTTTTCTGAGAGATGAGTTTTTTAGGAAAATACTGGGTATTTTTCTCACTGTTAAGCCTGTGCTATATACTGATGCCATGGTTACAGTGGAAACACTAATGATAAACAAGTACAAAGCTTGAAATCATGATAGCGTCTATTGTATTAGGACAAGTCAGATAAATACGCAAAATCCTGGTTCCTTTTATCTACAGAGTATTCAGCAGTTGCAAAAATAATTTTTAACCTTATGTGTAATCCCTGAATATATATATATATTTAAAAAAAAAAAAATCAAAGTTGTGGCCTAAAACAGTCATTCAGATTTTACTGGATGGATGATTTTAAACAAAATACATACTTTTAACAAAATAAAATCAGTATAAAATATTTGTTTGGGTTTCTAAAAAAGGTATAGTAACAATTAAGAAGATGGCTGCTTTTCCAGTGGTGCATCAATACAGACATAGCACAGTAAAAGTGTGAGTTTTGCAGATTTTTTTAGTCATGGCTACACTGCAGTTTTAAAGAGAGCTTTGGATTTATGGCATTACAGGCTTTTCTGTAAGCTCATAAAATGTTATACAGAATGGCGCAGAGCATTGAAGAGGATGTTGGTGAATTTACACTTTGAAAAATATGAAATACAGAACACTAGGTTGCAGGTTGTTACCTGCAAGTTCTGACTGGAAAACAAACTAATAACATGAAAGCTGTGGCTATATTTTTTGTTGAGTTAGGTAATTCAGGTAACAATAAAGTATGTCTTTATGTAGCTTTCTTACATGTAGCATGTGTAGAAGTTGCACTTGAGTTGGTAATGCAGCTACATTTTAATCAGTAGAATTGAGACCAGGAAGGAAAATTCCATTGATATTTAGTCTTGTGGTTACACTCCTGTGAATTAGCTCGATCAATGTTTATGTGTTTGGATGATTGGTAGTATGGGTTCTGAGTTCAAGTCCGCTTTCCAGAGTTGATGATAGATGAAATCAGTGTGATTGGACCTCTGCCAAAGACTCCATCTAAGGGTCTTAGCCATTAGTCCGGCTGTACATGAGGAAACCTAGTGAATTGTCCTAAGAAATCCTTTTGCAGGTTGAGTAGCAGAACTCACTAAATCAGTCAGGGCATCACAACATTTAGCAAGAAAAGCCTCGATTTCCACTGAAAATATTTTACAGCTATATTTAGGTTAATGAAACAAGTTTAATTTTCTGCTGTCTTAAAAAAAAAAAATCCCTGACACTGTCAGGAAAAAAATAAAACACAGATTTCAGTGAGCTTTTCTTTGCTTGTCCTAAGTGTCTTCCATACTATTTGTTTTTCTCTTCAGTGCTGCTTCTTAAGATCTACATTTGAAACATTACACTTTTTAAAAAGCATCCATTCATATTCCCACTTTATCAGTGTGGTTAGTCAGGCAACTGTGCCACCACTGCATAAAGCAAGTTTATTATGAATTAATACAATATTGCACTAACAAGTTGATGATGAGCTATGGGAAATGGCATGGGGAAGAAGTAAGCTCTTTGACATACTTGTTGAGCTCTCAAGTCATGTATTTTTATGTCATGCTTATAGTGTACCATTGAAGAAACTTTCCTATTGGAAAGACTAGGTCTTCAAGTTGCAGTTCATGCGGTTAGACACCTAGGTTAACGGAGCTCTGAATGTCACCCAAAAGGCAATAGCAGGGGAGGGATTAAAACTCTTCGGAGGCCTTGGACTCTTGAGCTGTCCATGGATGTGAGAAGTACTACTGTCTCCTTCCAGCCCCTCTAATCCGAATTAACTGGAAAGACTAGTTAGGTGCTTATCAGAGCTTTTCTGTTGGGTTGGTTTTGTGGTTTGGTTTTGTTTTTTTTTTTTTTTAAATGACGTTTCTGTTGCTGAAGTGGGAACTCCTTTCAGACAGCAGGTGATCTGTTGTAGCTGGCAGACAGAGTGGAACTGTCATCATTTTAGTGCAGGTCACCTTGCGT